CACACCCCAGCAATACTCGAAAAAATTTCGAAGGGCGAACTGCCGTCAAAAACAGCAGTTAACAAACAAAAACAAGTCAAAATCTCTGGTAGTTTTTTTCTGAACTTTTGGCGTAGTGCTTGCATGCTTGCATGTCGTACAAACAATGAAATAACCAGGGTCGAAGTGGCCATTTGTAATGAGACACCATACTCACCTGGATGGTTCGTCTCACCTGCATGCCACCGTGCACGCCTTCCCTTTTCATCTGAAGGCTTGTATGTGTGAGTAGGTGGCAGATTCCAATCAGAAGCTAGTTTTGTTTTGATAGGAAGACTAATACTCTTTTGAAGTTGATTTGTTTCTTCAGACTAATACTCGTTTTAGTGGAAAAACGTCTTGGTTACCATAATTTTGGCTCACCCTGTAGAACAGCTCGACAAAAATTTCCCATAAAAAGTGGACTGAGGCAAAAGAAAGCTGGAAATCATTGTCGGAAGTGGAAGGGGTATTTCCGTATTTTTGTAAAGGATATGTGAATTCATAGTACTCTGTTTTAGCAATGTGCGTAATCGGACCGGTTACAGTTGGAGTAACGACATCACTGGTGTTGGCGTACACTCTGTCAGCCTCTGACAAAGAAATCAGCCCCTGGCATTGCATGGTATTAGGAGTGTTTCAAAGTATTATGTTGATTATAGTGTCCTTCAGCCGCTTGTTAGGGACATTATAGTCTACGACATAGGATTAGTTCTAACTTTAATCGTTAATCGTTTATGCCTAGTGCACGTAAAATAACTAGTTTTTCGTTTCTTGTAAGTTTTCAACGAATGTTGGCATAAGCACAATGCTCAAATTTATGCTGGAAATCCAGCGTACATGAGTTGGAATCCTCATCAATTTGAGGACGCTTTAGTTGGATAGATCACCATAGTTCTCATCTTGCAATTAGATGAAATTGAGATATTTTTTGGAGCTCACTAAAAATTTCACTCAGAAGAACGTTCATTGTTCTTGAGTTCATAACTGGTATCGCGAAGTGTTGTGTTATCTAGCTGTGGACAGTAATTTTCTTCAATGTTGAGAGTGACGAATTTCAACGTCGAACAGCAATCAGCACAGCACGTCTTTGTTTGTTTGTAGTCATACCTTCCGATATTTGTATTATTTATTTCATTTTGTATAGAAATATTACGGGTATTTTGCGTAAAGCTTGAACACCTACGATTTTGTTGTACTGCCAAATAAACTGTTATCCTCTTCCGTTGGATCTAGTCTCATCTATTTATGTCCTGGTTCTGAAAAGTTTTGCCGAGCTCTTGCCGCACAAATACTCGAAGAAGAAAGCTTTTCAATTGTGATACCAGCTGGTTGAACAAGACCGTTACAATGATTTTTATTCCAAAGATGAAGAGTAAAGGTCGACAAAAGTCCTATCATATAGTAAGACAAATCAGGCCAAGACTCAAGTGCTTGTCTCGAGCGTGTTGAGATTCTAGTGGCTAGTGTCATCCACTTTCCATCATCACGCGCGGAGTCATAGGATAAGAGCTACTGCCAATATGTGTGAGAAATGTATAAGACAAATTAGTCACTGTTCTATATTTTCCACTTCCACTTTGGGCGACTGTCGCGCCAGCATAGACGCTTTGCCCTCTCATATGTCAAGAAGCATCAGAGTTCCGCGCTAGGGAGCGGCGCCCATGTCGGCGTGAGGGTAAGCTATCGGTACTCACGCCGCGCTCAGAACCGGCCACTATGCCACGCGAGTACCTAGAAGGCCTCTGGGACTACGCCGTGATGTTAGCGCCCTACAATCCTACTTTCTATGTTGGATTGACTAGCTCGGCTTACGGGCATCGCATTTGCCTGTGCGTGCGCAGTACATTAAACGTGAAAAATGTGACAACAACAAAAGGAAGATCACCTCACCCTAGTGCAGTTGCTAACGAAATAAAATCACTGGTAATGAGCAGTACGTGACTACTTCACAATACAGACTCTTATCCACCGTTAACTCAAAAGTCTCATTGCCTCCATGAGCTCCTCTCTGTTGTTTATGAGACAGTCGCTTGATAGCGAGTGCCTCTAACAATTTTCTTTCCAAGGAGACTTCTTTATAGCGGTGTAGCACAGTGACTTTTATTGATGGAGGCGGTTCTTGTCCATGGTAAAGCGTACGATGTCGCGAAAAACCATTGTTTGGGTAAGACGAAGGGTTTCGCAACGCTCGCATATGTTCATCAATCCTTCTGTACAATGGCCTCATGGTTTCTCCCACATACTTGCGACCACACGCTTCACATGTGACCAAATAAACGGTTCCTCGTAATTGGCAGATTTTCGTTTCCGTGCAGTACGAGCAGTTATTTCGGCCACACTTTTCTTCGTAAAGTCTTGATGAAGTTTCATCATTCATTATGATAATTTCTTTGAACCACGAGGAAAGAGAAAATATACAATACTACAGAAGGAAAACTACGGCCCAGCTCACGGGTCGAACCGAGGTGCTGTACGTCACGGGGTAAGACGTAGCTTGGGCTCCGCGGTCCATCTTCGGTTCGGTGCCCGGATCCGGGAGACGGTCAATTCAATCGTCGGCTAATGAGGTCACGCCGCTCACGCGGCGAGAATCGTCGCGCGCGGCAGTTGCTGCGGCGATTTCTGTGTGGACCTTTTCTTATCCATCCATGTCCATAAGTTGGCTAGGTGACTGATAAGACCAGAGTGCTGGACATCAGTAAGCCAGCAAGCGTCACTGTAAGATCTCCGCAGTGATTTAAGCCTCACAGTACAAAGGTTGTACCATGTAAAGGTTGTCCTTTTGAATTTAATTTGACTTCTTTATTAATCAGCTGCCTGAATTTCTATCAGAGAGTGATAATCTGGTTCAATCAGAAAGAATATTCACGTTCCAAGACACAGAGGAACGGTGAGGAAGGCTCTAACATAAGCATGATAGGATAAGTTTGTAATAATGGCAAGGGAAAAAGAAACTGCATTTTAAAGGGTTAGGTGATTCCTATTCCATGTTTCATGACTGAAACTTCATCTAATCTTACATTCCCCAATGTTTGGATGCTGAGTTCTTTGCAAATTCGCCGCGATATTGCTGGCTGCGGCGGCTGGCGCGGCGACCTACTTACTGCCACGATTGAATCGTCACGCACCCCCCGGATCCATGTACGTGTTGTACGACGACTTGATTCGTGGAGTGGTGAAGGTAGAGTACGAAGCGAACGAACGGCGATGACCGAACGGCCAGACTCGGCGGCGGTGACACGTAGACTAAGGGCATGGGAGGGCGCTGGTACTCTGCTTCTGTGGCGCTCCTCGCGAATCTTCGATGGCAAGGATGCGCCAGGACCCG